ATACTGGCTGAAATTGTCGAATAATGCTGGCTGATTTATACTGCGCCTTACTGCACCAGTCACATAATCCTGTTATGATACTGAACACCCTTTCATAATTATGGACTAGTGGCGAAAATATTTTCAGAATATTCCTGAAACCCAATATATGTATTTGTATCACATATTTTTTGTATCCATATGTTTTCAAAATCTTTCTAAAACTTTCAAGCCTCAGTTTGATGGATAGTTAGTTAGTAGAGAATTGGAGATGCAATATATACTATTTTGGCCTAATCCATTTGATTACCAAAAAGTGCACCATTTTGCAATCTAATTATTGTGCCAGTATATGTATGCCAATTTCATGTCCGTAGTAGGAAGTGCATTATGTACTATTATGGCCAGCCCATTTTATTGCCAGAAGTGTGTCTAATTATTACCTATTTGTTGCCAGTATAGTACTCTTAGATCATGAAGGGCATTTTTACACAAAATTATTAACAGTGATGAGTCATTTCATCCTATCATAGATTTTGATTTGCCAATAGAAACACTAAATGCTATTTCACCTAAGCTATTAGACAAATAGACTAAAAACATACTTTGCAATGCTTTTAGAGATGTTTATCTAAAAATATTCCCAAAATGAGATAAAAAAACTATATCTATTGCTGATAGTAGTGATGTGAAAAAATATCTTTCCATGTCTCAGCTTTTGGTATAAGACTTCTAAGCATTATTCAGGTTGCAATATTTACTGAACTTGTTCATAAAAAACTCCCAGTAGAATTACAGGATAAAAGTAATATAGTAAACAAATGATCATTTTTCTTGCGAATACTTAGATTGTCCAAGTATAAGGAAGAAATGAAAAAGCTTCGTGTTAAAAAAACTGTTTATTTAAAAGATGGGACTATCTTCGATTTTATGATTCATCCATCTAATGATGAATCAGAAGTCATTAAAAGTTCTCTTTTAGATATTTCAAAACTAAAAGTCAAAATATATAATAATACAAATAGCAAAACTGATCAGGCTAAGTTCAAATTGGTAGAAGAATTGCTCAGAAAGGCCAGTATTAAGGGATTTAACCTTTCATATCCATTAGAATCATCTCCTAATGTCTTTTCTCTCAAACGTATGAGCCAATTATATTGTTCATTATGTGAATATATTATTCAATATAAAAAGTTTTATAGTTTTCACTGTTATCGTGCAAACTAGAAAAAACTATCAGGCAAAAGAAAACCTTCAATAAAGCTTAATCTTAGTAAGACATCTTTAAACTGAAAAAAGAACTTTTCAGCTTCAGTAAAATTAGAATGATCCAGAATTTCAAATTCAAATAATCATTTTATGTGATGAGATTTAATATGTATGTGTATTTCAAATAAGAAATATTCCTATGCTGAAGTTTACTATGGAGCAATCCAAATAACTGTTGCCTACATTCAAAATAAAATTCTGATATGAATATTAAAGTATAAAAATTCAGAAAATGGACTTTATTTTGATATAAGACCTGAACTAAAGATTACCAAATTTGAGATTAAAATAATTGAATATAAGGATAAAGTAGTGAAGTTAAAATCTTTAATAGACTTAGCAGTTATTTAAGATTTAATAGTTTATGTAGATTATAATTTCCTCCCATATCTCATAAGCGCTTATCATCCAAACACAGATTTCTTTAACCTTTTCCTAGGATTTTTGGCTAAACCAGTGATGAAAATTAACAAAGAAATTATGGATGCTATTATTTAGCATACGAAGAATATAATTAGTGCTGAAAATGTTGAACTTCATAAATATTTTTGAAAGTAGTAGGTATTTTTAATGTAAAAGCTAGCAGAAAAGTCTTGAACGATCTTAATGTTAAAATCTACATTACAATAGTGCAAAAAAAATATTATTACAGATTTTATTAGTGATAAAGTTCTAGAAGAGCATCTCCATTTTGTTATATCGAATTTGAAAAAAATTCTTGGATATTTTAATAATCCCTTCAAGTTCAAAAGCTTATTATTATAAATAAAACTGGGATGTCTAGTGGAGAATAGCATAAATTTAATAAATATTTTAAATCTCTCATAACAGAAGAAAGGGTAGCTATAAAATGAAAAAATCTTGAAACTAAATGATTAAAAGATTTTGCTGGATATATGATTACAAATAACCAGAATGCTCTAATTAAAATAGACATAGAAGATTCTTGTGTATAGAGCTCCAAAAATGATTTGCATAAACTCACATTTTTGACTCGCATAATTGTAAATTTTCATTTAATTATATTCTAATTTAATAAAAAGTACTTTAAAATTAAGGTTTTTGACTCGCGACTCGACTCAACTCGACTCATTAGGAGCTCTACTTGTGTAGTGTGTTTTAATGTCTCACCATATTATAAAAAAAATACAAAGTATTTTAAAAGACTAGAAAATATACTTAATCATCCCGATGTAAAGTTGCTTGGCTAAACTCATTTTAACATCTAAACTTTAATTAGTAATAGTTTAAACTATGATAAAAGGTTTCGACAATAGCTAAATGTCTAAACTATGTCTAAACTTTCTAATTAAAATAAATAATTATTAATACATTATTATATATATATATATATATTTTTTTTTTTTTAATATTATATAATTATTAATAAATATAGTTAGACTTCCATATAGTAACATTTCATATAGTTACATCATATAAAATTTCTCCTTATAATCACACCTTTAGGAAAATCCAATTTATATACTTATTATATAAAAAAACCTTTATATAATTACATTATAGTAAAAGCCTCTATATAGTTATTAATTTTTATAGAACCGATTAAATAACTATATAGAGATCTGACTGTACTAAATACTAATAATAATATATAAAAAGTAAAATTATAAAACTGGTTATTAATTAAACTTACTATATATTTTAATATATATAATGATTTAAATAATTAATATAATGAAATTTTATAATTGCAAACCTGGTTAAATTTAATATATATTCTAGTATAATAGTTTAAAAATTTAATATAATATATAATATAATAAATCATATAATTTATTATAATAAATGGTAAACTTTATTAATTACTATGTAAAAATATGTCTAAACCTTTCACAGTTTTACCAGTTTTATCAGTTTCGCAGTTTCATAAATAGTTTCAATTTCAACAATTATCTAAACTACTTAGTTTTGCCTAGCAATCTTATGCAAAATTATATAATTTAACCAAATTGAAAATTTTTTTATAATATTATTTATTTTAATTTAGAAATTGCAAACAAATAAACCATTTAAGAGATAAGTATAAAAAAAAATAAAAGTAAATAAAGAATATAAAAGCCAGTTTTAAAATTTAAAAATTTTTTCAATAAGCAAAATTTGTGATAAATATAAAAGGTTATATATACTATATATTGATTATATTCTGAGTACAGTAAAGAAATAATTAATAATAAATTTTTTGAATAATATTAAACATTCTAATTTTTTTTAAAAATAAACAATCATAGAAAATTATTATATTTTTATATCTGTTATTTTTAAATGGATTACTATTTAAATTAATAAAAAGTTTCTAGTCAAATTTAGATTTTTATAATTTTTTTTTTTGTATTTAAATTTATAAGTTGCTAAAAAATTTAAAATCTAATTTTTTGAAATTTTTTATATTAAAAATTTCAAATCTTTAGCAAAAAGGAAATTAATGGTTACATTCATCTGTTCTACTAATTTATTTTAAAAATTATTTTTAATTAAAATTTCTGTTTTTAATGTTTTTTTCATTCTTTATTAATATAATTTTGCCCGTTATTAATAAGTCTGGGAATCTAAATAAATTTATACATTTCTATTAACCATTTCAGTAGACCTGAAACCTGTCGAAAATTATAATATGATCTACATTTCTTGGCATTTACATATTACTAATCAATTATTTCAAATTGATGAAAAAGATATATTATGAGTTGTACCACAAATAATAACAATATAAATAAATAATTTAATGATCACGAGAACATACAACATACAAGAAAATAAAAAATATATTGTTTTATTTATTCATTAATTAATTTAATATGAAAATACAATAAAATTTTAAAAAGAATAATTTAAATGACAAACCGTCAAAAATTATTACAAAAGAACTCGATTTATATATTGTTTTTAAATTCAAGTAGCACAAAATTTTTTCTTTTCTCAGTAGGAGAGGATTACAAAATAGTGATGGAGATTCTTCAACTTACCGAACAATAAATCAATAATTTTTTTTCAAAAATTTAAATCACCTCACTTTTTTTGTTAGCAACACCAACCCAAAAAAATTATTTGAAATATTGGAATAATCACACATATTTGGTTTTTTTTCGTAAGTATAAAATCTTGTTTGATTTGCAAGAAAAGAAAAAATATATATATGCAAAGAAAAAAAAAAATATGTGCAATCAAAAAAAAAATTTGTATAGTAAGTAAAAGGAGATATCCCAAAATTATGTATAAGAATAACCCACAAATACGAAAAAAAAAAGAAATTGTAAAAAAAGGAAAGAGGATATGAATATTATTAAAATGAATTGCAGATGTAATACATTAAAAAAAATGAATGAAAGTATATATATAATCTTTAAATAAAAAGGGGTGTGCGAAATGATTACAAATGTTACCAAAGTTACCTACGAAAAATTTTGCTTTGGTGGATAAACAATCAGCCGTTTAAATAAAAAAAAAAAAGATTTAAATTATGGGGAGTTGGGGAAATAAGGGAGGAAACCCAAACTTTTCTAAAGAAAAGGGAGAGAATCTATTTTGGTGATGTTACAATAATTATTATTAAATAACAAAATTATAATATTATATAATAGATTTAAATAAAATGTTTCTGCACGTCAATTAATAGTTCTTTATAGAAGAAAGATAGCGGCGTACCAGCCCGCTTACCCGTTTCCAAAAAAAAAAGTCTACATAAATTATTCACAAAACCTATAATATTAAACATAAAAAAGGACTCAAAGAATCTACATATTATCCCACGACATTTGAGTCATATCTAACATAGCTGCTTCATACGGAGGTGAGGGATACATTTTTTGTTGATATTGGAAATCGCAGAATAAATCTTCTGATTTTTATAGTCAAGAATAAATAAATAAATAACAAAAAGTTAATAATTAAAAAATATGATAATGTATAAATATATCAAACAAAACAATACCATTTAATTGATCTGGATGCTGATCAAATTGTAGATGTAAGGTATTTGGGTCAACAATATGATGTTCTATAGGTATATCCATCGTATAATTAAATTCTGATGGTGGAAAATTGTGTTGTTCAAGTATGGAAGCGGGATACATCACTAAACAAATTTAAATTTGAAATAAATCATTGCATATTTTTAAAAAAAAAATCGTTTTTTGCGTAAAAATAAAATATGTAAATATACATACACTCATATGGTGATAAGCATGGTTGTTGTTGGTGATGATGAGTTTCGATGGGCTGGTTTATTTCGGGATTTTTACTGTCTATCACTTCTGACGTTTCTAAGTCGTAATCTTCCTCAGTGTTCCCATTACTGATGTCATCGTCAGAACGACATTCTTCTGTTTTTATTTGAATATCAATGGACTTTATTGACTCTTGTGCATTGGTAGTTGTGGTGGTGTTATTATCAGCTTCGTTCTTTATCTCTGGTGAATTTTGATTTTTACCGCTGCTGATTTTAGCGTCCTCCTTCACTTCATCAGCTTGAGATGTAGATGGTTTTGATTCTTCGCGTGGCGGAATAGGTTCTAATCCTAACTTCTCTCTTAATTTATTAATTTCCTCACGTAATAAGTCATTTTCGTTGCGAATGCTTCGCATCTCCTTATCGTGCAATTCGTCTTTCTTACGGGCATTATAAATAAAATCTAGAGATTTTTGCACAATTATTGACTTTGAAGGTCTACGAACTTGCGCTAAAGAAGGGAGAGCGTGGGCAAGCTCTTGAAATTTTGTGTTTAAGCATTCTCGTCGTGCCCGTTCGACAGCGTTGTGATTGGCTCTTCTTTCAGCTGAATTTGTATTTCTTAAATTATTAAAAATTTTAATTAATAAAATAAATATATAAATTCTTATTATATGAATCAAAAAAAAAATATATAAATATATATATTCTTGTCTTCAAGATATATATCTCTTCAATCATACTTACTTCTTTGCAGCATTTGCGACTAAAAATTTCAAATAATTTGAAAAAAAAAAAGTTCAAGTAGTGAATAAATATTTTTTATTCTTAGATGAGGAGAGTAATTAAAATAAAACTATGAATAAACACTCTTTATATAAAATAAAAAGAGGTAGACTTACTTGAAGGTATCTGAAAGGTAAAGTTTGCACAACCGTTTGGATGATGATGCGAAGGCATTCGGCTGTTTATGGCGTGTAAAGAAGGTTGTGGTGTGAAGCTGATAATGGTTCCACCGTTGACTGTCCCCATGATTTGGCTGATTGTTTATCGCTTATACATGCAAAGAGAGAGGAAAGCCTGAAGGACGCCGAATGCCTATAGGAGGTTGTTGAATATTAACGGCCGCTAGCCAGTGCACAACCAAAACAAAATTAAAAAAAAAACGATGAAAAAGAATGAGTGAGAAAATTGGGCAAAGGAATGGTCTTTTATTTACGGGGGGAATAAGCCGAACTGATGACCGATTACGCTCTCTGTACAACTCTGGTTTTCTTTAATAATACTAGTGTTAATCATTGATTGAATTGATTAATCCCTTTTTGTTTTTTTTTTTCATAAAATAAAAAATAAAATGAAACTTTTTTTTTGTAACTTATGTGATACTATTTATTAAAGATAAACATAACTGTTACGGCAATTTTTTAAAAGTACCCTTGAATTCTGATACAATAAGCTAAACAGGAAAAAATTTTGTTAATTTTTATTTATAAAATTAGTTGTAGGGATGAAACGTTACAGCCTCCTTCCTCAATTATCATACTGAATATTCTGCTAACAAATTAAAAACTAAAAATGGAAAGCAAGTAATTTAACTTTTAGTCAAAAATGCGAAAGAAAGAATGAGGCAAAATGATGAAAACGTAATAAGACAATACGATGTGAATCGAGGCTTTAACATGATGGGCTTAGAACTTTTTGGTAAAGGATATTACAATAACTCCTGGATTGGATTTATTGGGATTTTTAAATAAAATTAAAAATTTTTTTTTTTGTAATATTGTAATATCATATTAATAAAATAAAATAAATAAATAAAAAATAAATAAATAAATAAGTAAATAAATAAAAATTATTCTATACTTTAAAAAAAATAATAATAAATTATTAATCATAAATAAAGAGTATTAATTAATCTAACAAAAATAACAAATAAAAATAGCGATAGATAAGATCGTTAAACGTTCTCTTACTTCTAAACGATGAAGAATCGTTAAAAAATATTCAATAGACAAATAGTCGTTCCTGATATTAAATGATCAAAGATGGTGTTTTTTTTTTAAGGAAGAAAAAAAAGAAAATTTATTACTGCGGTTCGCGATCGGATCGAATCCTATACGGCGCAGAAATTACGAAATTTCTTTTTTCTTTCTTGAAAGAAATTTTTAGTAAGATCTACAAACCTTTGTAATTTTTTCTTTTCATTGATTGGTTTTTGATTTTTCTAATCCATGGTGTTGGAATCCCGAAAATTTTTCAGATGATGATTTAAAAGATATCGGAAACATATCTTTTAGTACAAAATGAGAAATTTTAATTTAACACACATTTTGATACGCCGTAAAAGTCGAATATTTGTATTATATTTTTAATATTGCATATTTATTTACTAATTGTTGATCACTTTTATACTCTCTTCCGTTAAAATTTTAAAATGATTCTTTTTTCTTCTACAAACAACGGAAAATCTATCGTTGATACTTGGAAAAAATTATAAAATAAACAAGAGTGATTAGGTTCTTTGTTTTTTATGTTTTTTGTTGTAGCAATATCTGATCGTTGTTTCATGTCGGAATCCTTAATTTACATTATATCTATCATAGGTAACTTGTAATACATACAAATATAAATTTTTCCAAGTAGAAAGTCAAAAAATGATAAGAAAATCTGTGATACTGATTTCGGAAATCATCGGTTAGTAAGTATACTTTATTTTGCATAATCTTGAATAAATAAACTTACATACACGGAAAAATTATTGGTTATTTTAAAGGTCAAAATAAAGTTATTTCTAAACGACATTTCTGTATTTTGTACATTAGTATTTAAATTAGTACTCTGATATATTTATATTCTGTTTGTAAACTAATATTTAATTAAAGATTCTAGAAAACTTATTTTTTGCAGATAGTTAATAATATATATATATAATTTGTCAAAGTTTAATTTTAAATTATAGGAAAGTAATTAATAACTAAATTAAATTAAATCAAATAAAATTGTTAAAATTGGATGCTTGATATTTAAATTAAATATTAATAAAAATTTATTTTTTATAAATTCAAATAGAATATTACTAATAGTTCAGTTGGTTTTAAAGTTAAGTTAAAATAAAATAATTTAAATTACAAATTAAACTATAACATTCAATAAAAAATTTGATTTATATATATATATATATTTTATATTTATATAAGTAAAATGAAAGTAAAATATAATAATTAAAATTAAATTTACAATTATTTTTTCAAAAAAAAAGCTGACTAATTACCACTTACTATACTTATATAAATAGAGATATATAAGTTATAAAAGACTTTAAAAAATTTAACCAATATTTATTTTATATAAATGCTAATTTATTTTATACTACTTTCTATTTAAAACTGTTAATTTTTTTTCTACTATCAGAAGAAAATTTAATAAGAAAAAAAAAGGAGTAAGCTTATATTAAACTAAATATTACATAATATGTATAAACCTTTTAAATAAGCTTAAATTTAATAATTAGTAACCAAATTATAATATTTATAAATTATATGAATTTTATTAAATGTAATAAATGTAAATTCTCTTACTAATTTCTTTATTTTTATATTTATATTTTTACTTTAAATTTAGATATATCTAATATTTTTATATTCTATTAATTTCTATTATGATTAAATATAAAATTAAAATTAGATCAATTTTAACCTTCAAATAGTTAAAATGGTTAAAATAATTTTGACTTGAACCTTTTAAAAGTCAAAATAATCAAAATTATATCAAAGTTATTATATAATTTTTATATTAAAAAATTACTATTAAAATTTAAAACTAATTATCTCTTTATCTAATAATTGAATTTTAATAATCTTGGTACCATTTAATTCAACTCATTGAGAGAATTTAAATAATATATATTTTATATCTATAACTTTAATATTAATAAAGTTATTATAATTTGAAGTTTAATATTTTTTTTTTTAACTGCAATGCATTTGAAACTTTATTAAAAAAATGTTAAAGCTAAATTACATAAATAAAATAAAACCTTAAACTATAATCTAATATTATTAACAACTAAACCATTCATCATGCTAAAAAGCATACCATGTGTGTACTATCAGATAAAATTTTTACTTAAAGAGTAAAATTCATTTGAAACAGTCCATTCTTAATATATAACACTCCTCTTTCTACATAAAATAATCATAAGACCTATTATATTATAGTCAAAAATAAAAAAAGAAAAAAAAGATTTTAAATTCTGCAAAATAAATAAAAAAAATTTCCATCCTAATTACCTTTTTTTCAAACTTCCAAAGAGAACAAATATTGGGCAACTTTTTCTAATCAAGTCATAAGATCCAATTTGCGTATAATTAAATTAAAATCAACTAGCCATAGAAAAAAGAAACTTTATACTCACAAATAAACTTCAAAATTGTAATTGAAGAAGATTCTATTTACAGTAAAGAATCATATATTGAAATAAATCATATTATCTACTATTAGATGTTCAAGTGTACAGATTGAAAAGCTGAATATTAATGGTCTTTTCAAACTAAAAACAATTTTCAAACCCTTATGTAAGCTCTAACCAAAAGTAAATAATAAAATAAAATCTAACAAGTATATTAAAAAAAAAGATGTAAAAAAAAGAATTTATCTTTATCCTTCTTCTTTTAAAGTATGTAGAAATAGTTGAAAGTGAATCTTAAAGTCTTTATCAAAAGTTATTTAAAAATAAATCGATATTGATTAGTTTTACAATATCAGATAAAGATTAAACCAAATAAGCTATTAAATTTCCATAAGTAATTGTCTATTTTTGAGTTAAACCCAAAGTGAAAGTAAAACATGTCCAGTTTAAGATGTGTTTTAGTTTAAAAATTATTAAAAAATATTCTAATCAAAAGTTTTATAACTTGATGAATAGAAAAAATCAGTGGTAAGGAGTAAATAATAGGCAAAGAAAAAAAGTATAGAAAAGTTGTATGTAAAGTGCTCCAGTAGGTTAGCAAAAATCTTTTGAAAATAGTCTTTATATAAATACTTAAATCATTATAAAGTTATTACATATTTTTTATAGCATTTGAAGAGCATCAGTCTATTAGTATAGATATTATTTTATTGTAAATAGTTAATAAAGTCTTTGTTAATAAGAATATCATCATCATAACCTCTTTTTATGTTGAAGGCTTTATTTATTTTACTTAATGTTATTGCAGGACCCCGCTTACTTATAAAATAGATTACCCCCAGGCCTAAGGTAAAAATCATATATAAAATTCTTTGCAGATCCTACTATAAAAGGAAATTTTATGTTACATTGTTATGATTTTTTTTCTTTTTAGCTAATTAACCAATAGAATTTAAAAAAGTAAGGTAAAAACTATTAGTAAAAGGCTAATTTTCTATGATGACCTTTATTATAAGTAAGTGGGTCCTATTATTGCTTAATACTTGTTCTATATATTGTTGTAAGTCTTGCTACTACTTGTTCAGAGTAATATGTCTCTCTAGACTAAAATAAATTTAGAAACCCACAAGATAGAAAACTATAAAAACAAAGAAAAATAAAAAATAAAAATAAAAAATAACAAAAATTTTACTAGAAGTAAAGTATTTATTAAAAAAAATAAAAGTTTATAATAAGCGAAAATAAAAATTTTTTTTATTAAAATTTTGGTTATAAGTGTTAGCAGAAAGAGTTTCAAGTTTTATAATATTTTGCATTTAATTAAAATCATATAATATAATGTAATTTGACTATTTCAATTTCAATTTTAACTTTTAGACTTTCAAATTGAAATATTTTAACTTTTAGGTTTTAATTTTAGTTTTATGTATAATTATAATTAATTTGTGATCTGAATGTTAATCAGTAAAAATTCGTAAATAATAAGAATCTGCTGTTATTATAAAAACAAGTCATTTTTTACATTTGAAAGCTGTAGTTTTTCTGCTATATTGAGTTATTCCGATTTTTGCATTTTTTTAAAAATCAAGTAGAATTGAACTGAATAATTCCAGTTTAGTTTTTA